AGTTGCCAAACGAGCAGACGGTTCACCTGATGGTAAGTGAATACCGCCGCCCATGGACATCTGCTACACCCGAGGGTTACAGATACGTTGACAACCTTTTGAAAAGTAGGCTCCGGCTACCTCATTCACCAGACGAAACGCGAAAGTATTTGTCATACTTCCACTTTACGCTGGTCTTCTGTGAGGTCCTGGTGCTCCGGACGGGCCTGCCCATACGTGCAACAGCCGAGGCTGCTGCTGCGTGGCCCTACCACCGTTAAAACAGAATGTGCAGCGTTTTTGTACAGAATGTGCAGATTAAAGTCCTGCCAGTGAAGAAATTTTAAATTTGTTTCTTGCTATTAAGTTTTAATAGGTATTTTATTTGTTCTACCGCTTTATTATTATATCGATTATTAGTTTTGTTGAGTTAAGAATTTTAATTCGATTATTTTATTTATTCTATAAATTGATTTCATTTTCTTCTTGTTGATAATATGGCTTAATATGTACAAAATACAATATTGATACTATTACTTTAACGGTGGTCGGACCACGCAACAGTGTTCGCTGTTGCACGAATGGGCAGGACCGTCCGGGTTAGTACCACAACCTCACAGAAGACCGGCGTAGAGTAGAAGTGTTGCACTTCTGCGTTTCGTCTGGTGAGTGACGTAGCCGGGGCCCACTTTATTTCAAGGTGGCAACGCTTCTGCAATCCGCAAATGTCCATGGGCGGCGGTTATCACTTAACATCAGGTGAACCGCCAGTTCGTTTGCCACTTTGTCACATAAGAAAAAGATCTACAATAGAAATGTCATATCAGTGCAGAAAATAGCATAATAAAAATAGATATCTTTTAGAAATATTTTTTCAGTAGTGGTATGGACCCTATGTACTGACGTTAGAGCTTACTAGTCGATACGCCAATCGGGTCCTAACACTTGGGTTTGTTTCGTTCTAATCAAATATCTTTATTCAATATAGAAGCAGAATTTTACGGTGGTAGGGCCAAGCAACTGCCTCGGCTGTTGCACGAATGGGCAGGCCCGTCCTGGTAAGTACCACGACCTCACAGAAGACTAGCGTAAACTTGAAGTATGACAAATACTTTCGCGTTTCGTCTGGTGAGTTGGGTAGCCGGAGCCCAATTTTCAGAAGGTTTTCAACGCATCTGTAACCCTCGGGTGTAGCGATCCATGGGCGGCGGTATTCACTTAACATCAGGTGAACCGTCTGCTTTTCACATTAAAAAAAAGAAGCATTACACTCTTTTATTGATTTTCAAAATATTACTGTATCTGAGAAGAACCGGCGTAAGAAATTCAGCGGGAAAGTTTTAGACAATTTTTCTTACCATTTTTTGTCAATGAATACATGTTTCAAATATACTAAAGTCTACTTGAAAGAGTCTGGAGCGATCAATTCATGTCCAGAGTGTTATCATTTAAATAATCACTTATACCATAATAACTTTAAGCACACAAACGTTCCTTTGCAATTGTTTGGTATATAGCAAATGATTTTACATTTTGAAATTTTTCGGGGATTTCGTTGTAAAAACGTACACAATGTCTCATAAAAGAATTACTTATTCTTCGCAGTCTGGCTGTGGATAGAATTAATTTATGTTCGTTCCCAGTATTTATGTCGTGCACATTACTATGTCTTGTAAATTCTACCTTATTTTTATCGACTTACGTAACATTTTCAAATGTGTACCGAGGTTTATCCCTAATTGTCATATTCCGTCATATTCCCTCACGTATCTAATTCGATTAAAAGACGGTAAACCGGGCTGGATACTGGAGGAGGCTTTCGCCGCCGCTTTAATAAAATGTTACCATTCCGGCTTACTTTATGAAGTCGTGAGACTCGGATGTGCCTCGTGGAGTACAAAATTATACAAACCGATGCGTACCGAGCAAACAATGGAGCGGACTAGTGATGGGAACACGCGTTCGTTATGTTTCCGAAACATTCAGTTAATTTTTGAAGAACTTTTGGCGCGCTCGTGAAAAAATACCTCACAGAAGACCGGCGTAAAGTAGAAGTGTTAAATTTCGGCGTTTCGTCTGGGGAGTGAGGAGCCGGGGCCCACTTTATTTAAAGGTGGCAACGCATTTGCAACGCTACGGGTGTCGCAAATGTTCGCGGGCGGCGGTTATCACATAACATCAGGTGAACCGCCAGCTCGTTTGCCACTTTATCCCATAAAAAAATATATATCTATATATCTATATATATATACATATATTGGAGTACAATTTTGACAATGAAAGTCAGTGGCATGACGAAGTTGGTACCAAAGCGACCAAGTTCACGGTATTACCTTGGCAACCAATAACAACTTTTTGACATTCATTTATAATTCCAACTTATTTAATTAAACCGTTATCCATAGGGCCGTTATCCACTTCCATAGGGCCGAATTCGATCGTGACTTTGTATACAATGTTCAAGTTATTCGTGAACGATTTGCTCGTGTCCGATTTGATAGTCTCTTTAAATAGAATGTTACGGAGTAAGATCCTTCATTTATTGTAAGTTATTATATATGTTGAGTAAAAATTTAAAACGAAATTAAATACGTCTTTCAAAACTGTCAAGACAAGACGCTGAGTAATCGGCTGAGCACACTGTCAAAAACTTTTGAATTTATATGGAGGGTTCTAATCGGATTGTGCAAAATTTACTGTCACTTGTACTCCGTGGAGGAATTATGAAAACATAAAAGTCATTGATTACAACTTTACAACTAGGTTTACAGCGTTTAGGAAATTTACAAAAAGCTGACAATGCCATCTATATACTTAATTAAACGCGGCTTTAATACCAACAAGCTCCTTACACAGTCAAACGACAATTCAAATCGATATTAACGCTTTATCAAAATCGAAAATATTATTGATACACCGCTGCCCATCACTATTGTCTCTGTATTGGGACATCGCGGCAGCTATTACGAGAGTTTTTATTGGAAAACTTTCTTTGCTCTTTCGGGATTCACCCGCCGGAGTTTTGAGTTTCGGGGACGGACAGAGAAATGCTGTCACCTCGGCCCATCTCCGACTTTTGGATGAGTTTGTTTATGACACCGTATTTCTTTTTGTACAGTTAACGCGAGTGTGTTGTCCCAGTTCCCCAGAGGCGGTATCATATTCGGCGATTGGGAGTTATATGATTTTTTGGAAGCGAAACTCGATGGCTAGCTCTGTTGTTATGGTCTCCTGGATCCAGTCGATCCCCTTACTAAACGTTTCTAAGTACTGGGTCAAGATGAATTGGGCGGGAGTTAAAAGAGAGGTGCCAGGTTTTTCACTTTCAATCTTCTTTAATTAAGGGCTCTGGTCGGTTCAGCATCCCAGGAGTTCAGTTGTGCAACACGCTCCATTTTCTTTAGGTTCGACCTCACTAATGGAAACATAATGCGTGATGAACATAGTGTTTTCCAGTGTCTGGGTGTTTACATATGTATAATATGTATTTACTTGCAAAAGAAAAGTATGTTTAAGTATGTTTATCAGTTATCCAGTGCCCATATTACAAGCGTTGCTTAGTTTGAGGCTAGAGAACATTGGGTAAAACTGTGACCTAAACATTTATCATTATTATTTATATATTAAACACAAAAAATATACAATATATAACCTACGATATTGTATACTGTATGTCGCTTTGAAATCATAAAAATATGTTTTTCCTTCTCGCTCCCTCCACGACCCTAACGTAGCACCCGCAAATGATTTGAATAATTCCCGTGAAAGGACATACGCAAGGACGCCGAACGAACTTCTGTCCTTTGAGACTCGAACCCATATACGCCCACATTAATATTCAAGGTTTCCCCTAAATATTTCACTTTGGAATTGCGAATAGTAAACAAATATAGCGTCCAAACTATTACAGCATGTGCCACGTTTTAATACAAAATGGTTTGGGTGGTATCTTTTAAGACTAGAACATTTGCTACAGTATTTTATCTATATTTATTTTATCATGTTTTTAACCGACTTCAAAAAAGGAAGATGTTCTATGTTCGACTGTATACATTTTGTTTTTATTATCAGTTTCAGAGTTACTTTAAAAATAATAGGGATAATAAGACCGCAGAGTTTCTTCCCGGTTATTCTATGGTCCGGTCTAGTTTTGTGAACGTTCTTTTGAAGTGAAAAAAAAAAAGTGAAGTTTTTTTATCGTTCGTTACAGCCTATATTGAATAAAGTATTTTTGACTTTGGGAGGCTAAAAAAATGACGGAGCGAGCGAAATCTTAAGATTTCTAGTTATAGTTTATGCCTGAATAATTGACAAACGCAGACAACAGTTTACTTAAATGCCGGTGACGTATATTTTAGGAAATGCATTATTTTCAAAGGCGTGAAACGAGAGTGGTGGTTTGTTCACAGTCATTTCTTTACATACTTTCTTATTAAGCATATTTAATTTTTCATTTCCTTTCGCCACCCTGGCGTGGAAGATATCCACGCCAGGGTGGCGAAAGCAACCGCTTACAAGCGAATCATGTAAAATAATTTAGAACATCAAAATAAAATCTACAGTTAAAATAAAGTCAAAATACAAACGACGCGAATTACTGTTACTCCCTATTAAACAAGAGACTTGTGTATAAAACTTTATACTTCCATTCGTACCTGCTTTATTTGTTTCTTTCCATCACTCGATCGGTTTTAAAGGTCGATTAACAAAAAAAATACAACTTGTAATTTTCTTTGTAGATAAATGAACAAAAACCTAGGGAGCCGCGGGATTCGAACCGGCGTCTACTGGTTTCGCGCCCAGACGCTTACCAACTAAGCTAAGCGGCCGATGAGCTCACGGTGCGATAGTCTTGAAATCTACGTTCTTTCTATTGCATTTCTAGCAATGTGTCCAAGCGCCATTTATTTCTTTAAAAGAAGATGCGTCAAACATTCGTTCGCACAACGCGGCAGTTTGCAACTCTACGTCGGTACGACGAAATCTTAATAAGGCCCCGCGGGCGAGGAAAGTTGGCTTTAGGGGAGGTGCTTGCAACATGAGCCTAATACAACTCGACTCGGGCAATTAAAGTTCTCGGAGTGGCGGAATGTGTAAACGCTCGGAGGCTGGAAATCTTCCGCCGGTTTCCCCTTTAATAAACAGCCCTCGACGTATGACAAAGGACGGTGTTTACCGCCGAAATTTATATCGGCTCCCCGAGTTTCGGTCGTTTGTTTTGTTACGAAATTGGTTTTCTTAATTGGCAACACGGAGACGGGGCGTCGATGGAGCGTCCCAGTTAGCGGTGCGACGCTCCGCTCGCCGGCTGCCGTGTCTTTGAGTTGCTCCGATGGGTGACTGTCAAAGTGTGAAGAGAAAATTGCAAATGGTTCTTCAAGCTTGTTTTGTGAGATCGTGTTACCTGTTTCTTTTGGTATGGAGGTGAGGGGGGATCTTCGAAAGATACCCCGTCACCTTACATGACACATCTTACTAAATCCCCCGCGGTGGCCACCTTCTGTTCGTTTGGAGGGGCTCCGGAGTCTCCTACGGAATGCACAGGTGTCCCTCGGTACTGCGCGTGATCACGCCTCGGAGGAGAATAGACCTTCCCCGATTCCCTCGCCATCTTGCAGCAGCTCGAGACTGATTTACCTACATCCCAGGGGAAACTTGTCTATATCATAGTAGGTCACTGCATTTGGCCTACGCAATAGATTCCACTGTTGCACGATGGCCGTCGCGTCCGAGGAGGTGCCACGGTAAATTAAGATCATCATTTTTGTCACGGTGTGAAGAGTCGTGTTTTGTAGGCTTTGTTTTTTAAAGGGTAGGTAGCAGTCGAGCATGATTTATCTGGTGGTAAGTCACCTTTGCTGTGGCAGGGCCACGCAACAGCTTCTGTTGCACGGATGGTGCAGGTTTGTCTAGGGAAGTACCACGGCATCACAAAAGGCATTCAACTTTCGCGGTTCGTCCCACGAACCCACTTTTTTAAAGGTCGTCAACGCATCTGCAAGCACGCGGCTGCTGTATATGTCACTTCAAAGATATTCTTAAGACATCAGCTTCAACCAAAAGATGAGTTGTTTGTACGAAATTTAAACAAAGATCGCGTTAACTATCAAGGCCGTGAACCACCGCTCCACAGAAAACAGTATAAAGTCGCGTCAAACTTTTCGTGTTTGCGTTTCCGTTAAAGCTCCCGCGTCAACTGTTAAGTTGCTCTTCGGCGGCGTGTACTTGCCGAGAGTTTACGTTTCGCAGTCGACTTAATGACGACTCCATTGAAAGGGGCTCGTTTAAAGTTGCAAGTGACATTATTAAAGTTTTGTGAGGAGATAGTTTGTATGGGAAAGATGGCTCGTGTGCCATATATACTGGTTTAGCTATTAGCCGCAATGTAGTTAAGGAACTGTTTAAATTCTCATTGCTTTTAATTGATCGAGGAATACGTATATACAGTTCTCTGCTAGCTATAAACTACACAGTTAACAAACTATTATCGTAAATGAAACTAATTTTACGGATTTATCGCGTTTATTTTTAATTTTAATTCCCGACGTTTCGGACCGCTTACAGCGTTCATGGTCACGGGACAGACTGAGGTGTTAGACGTCTGATTGTCATAGTTAACCCGGGCTACCGTCAGTTTTTGGATTATTAATTTGCTGTAAAGGGTTCGAAACGTCGGGAATTAAAATTAAAAATAAACGCGATAAATCCGTAAAATTAGTTTCATTTATAATGTGTAATCGCGTAAATACAAGAAATTATTATGTAAACTATTATCGAATATTATACACATTTTGATGACTCCATACGCAGTTGCCAGAGTATTCGCTTCGGCGTCGGGGGTCGTGGGTTCGATTCCCACACGGGACAACTATTTGTGTGACCCCCCAGATATTTGTTTCGTATCTGGGTGTTTGTCCACGTGAAATTTATTTTTGTAAAACGTTCTTACAACACAGGATAAGGTTATCCCAAAGTAAGGGTAATGTTTTTAAAAAATATATATAAAAAAAAATAATAAATGAAACTACTTTACGGGGTTTATCGCGTTTTAAGAAAGGGTTCGAAACGTACTAAATCAAAATTAAATATTTTCAGTTCATGGTCTCTGTCCCGTAAACATGAACTCTGGTTAACAAACTGTTTAACTTTATACTTCTTTTACTTGATCGAATTAGATCAAATGTATGCACGTTCTTTATTTCTTCCATCGAGATTTTCAATAACTGCGTGGATTCAGTTTATAGATGACAATTCAATGCAGACAACCATCAGAGTGTTTAATTCGGGTAGAATTGTGCGTAGAAACCGTAATAACAACGGGCCGCAATACATGTACAACTCAAAAATAAAGTTATTCATAAATTTACTTGGAACTTTGAACTGCATGAGTTTACTTTTTCCTTTTCCTATTTCGAGGTCTTTGACTATCTCATTGATGTATACATTGAAGGCATGAAGGCATTCATACGGTGTTTGTAAGCGATTCATTCACACCTCCCTCTGCTCTCTTCTTTATGTCTCATTAGCAAAAAATCTTTTCACAATGGTTTTCTGGTAGAAATCGCTTTCTGAGCGATAAGACCGCCTGTTGTACTTCATTTTACATTCATGTTTAATTTGCTTTATATGTATGCAGTTTTTTGATGTACAATAAAGTATAAATAAAATAGATATGTCAGAAGAGAGGCAGATTTTCTTTTAAAATTTTCCATAACTTTATCGTTAATATTGTTGTGTTTTAAATTAGGCGACCAGTGATTCCTTTGTTATGCGACATAATGTAATCTTCCGTCTCTTTTTCGAAACTCTTTAGGTAAGCCCCTTCTTAGAAGCCAAGGATCTGAAATTTGGCTAAAGATAATAATTAAAGTTTCTCACCGCTGCTGTTTAGGTTCTGTCCTCTACTATGTTTATGGTTCCGTACCCGAAGGGTAATATTATTACCACGACTTCGCCGTCTGTCTATCTGTCACCAGGCTGGATCCCATGAACCGTGATAATTATACTGTATAACAAAAAAATACTAAGAAACAGAATTAAAAAATATTTAAGTGATGCTCCCATAAAACGGAAATGATTTTTTTACCGTTTACTGCCGAACCTTAAGCAGTGCGAGTCCGACTCGCATTTGACCGGTTTTTTTTTATTAAACCGACGCTTTTAGATCAACCGTTCTTAAAGCTTCGTATGACCTAAAATAGTTCCTCTCGCCACAAATGTAGCAATATCTTTTGTCCCTTCTTTTGAACGTGCCGGTCAAAACTTGGTAAATTATCACGGCGCCCTGAGCCGGTCGTTAGCTAATTACCATATATTAAGTGCGGGTGGACATGTTTAGTGTTTGCAGCGAGTGCAATTAATAACATATACGACTGCGTGCAGCGAGCGTTAATAAATTCGGAGGCTAGTGCATGTAGTGCTCGGTTTAAATTATTTCCGAATCCTGTTTCCGGATTTATTCCGTTACTGGCAACGCCTCGTGGTCTCCGTTGAGAGATAGTCTATATTTTATTATGATTTCTTGTATTTACTCGATTACACATTACTAAATGAAACTATTTTTACGAAGCTATTGCATTTTGTATCCGGTTTTATGTCCTAGTACTCTTCTTCTTCTACCTGACATTAATCCCGGCTATTGCCAGGGTCTGCCGCCCAACTCAATCTCCTCCACTTTGCCCGATCTTCAACATCCTCAGGGGTCCGTCCATTGGTCCAGTCCTAGTGTTGTGTATTAATTTTTACGTACACAAAATTAATAGTTCAAACACTCACGGTAGCTCAAGCTGACTGTTACATTCAGACGTCCAACGTCTCTGTCCCGTGACCACAAACACCGAGAAGGGTTGGAAACGTCGCGAACTAAAATCACTATCACTACATAGTATAAAACAAAGTCTGTCCCGCTGTCCGTCTGTCCCTATGTATGCTAAGATCTTTAAAAATAACGCAACACATCTTGATGCGTTTTTTTTTCTATATTTTTGTTAGATATATTCTTCGTTAAGTCGTAAAAACTAAATAAATCAGCTTGAAGTGGAAAAATATCTATAAGTACCCCTTATATTATATATTCAGCGTATTTGTGCAATAGAAGCTTTCTTTCTTCCTTACTAATATCAACATATATTGAAAGTTAAATCTAATACAGATAATTTAACCATTATCTTTGGCATAGTTCAGTTGAAGTTTTGTTCATTATAAGTTTTCTATTGATCTAAATTGACTGAGCTTATCCCACATTTTTTACCTTAGCCGTAATACCAGTTTAAAGCTCGATTCAGATGTTATCTGTTGATCATGTAATAATTCATAACCCGCCTCCGATGTATTTATCGCTTTGGAAATCATCGCGCCAAAATTATAGACCTGTCATGTTTGTGATATCATGTTTTTTTTAAAATTCGAACCGACAGCGGCCAGTGTCTCGATTATTTAACACGGATCGTCGTAATTAAACGATGTTTAAATAATTCGCCCCGCGCCCATCAATCAGCGGCGTCGATTAAGCGACGCATTTAAATCGATCGATTAACACAAATTGGTTTCTGAGACATAATTCAAATGTGAACGGCTCTGTTAACATGGCGATATGAATGGTGACGGAGCATTGGTAATTAATTGGTAACTAATTCCGTAGCAAAGTTTTGTTGGTGTCGGTCGTTGCTCTATTTCCTAAGTGTTGCCGAATATATATTTTTTTTATTTTATTTTATGTATTTATTTATTTTATATTATTCGATTGTATATTGCTGATCTGTACGTGGAATTTGTTTCATGGTAATAGTTGAGTAAGGTAACGGCCCTAAAAATAAATATGCAGGTTTCCTCACATGTTTTCCTTTGTCACCATGTTATTACTACTACCTGGTCGAGTAGGTGAGAAAGTCAAAACGCATCAAGTTCGCCCTTTGTAATCCTTTTTTTAAAGATATAAATAAAGAAGTATGTGATAAGTCATCACTTAAATTGTACATCGGGGGTTGAACTCAGATTACTCAAGAATTAAAATCGAGCCCCCCGACACTGCTATCACGTTTAGATGAATTTGTGAGATCTTGTTAACCCCCGCCCCCCCAACTATCTGATAAAAAAGAGATAGAGTGGGAAGGAACAAAAGGAGACTCGAGAAAGATACCCGCCAGATCGTCCTTAGCGCCGCGCCACATTCGCCGCGTCCTGTACTCACGGTACAAAAGTCCTCCGTAAGGATGCAGCAATTAAAATTGCACGAGCCAGCTCGCCCGAGATTTACTACTGCAGCCCCGTCGCTGCGGAACGATAAATATTCCGTTCCCTGTTGAATCAACTTTTGTCTTGCGTTATTTGAATCGCGACAGTTATTTTACGGACGAAAGTTTCAGTTCGAAAATACAAAAACATGCCGTTTAACTTTATGACACACTAACGTCGGGTTTCTGTAATACTGATCATCGTAGGAGTCAACTAACCAGCTGTCAAATGGATTTTCAAATGTCATTTGAGTTGCCAAAAGGATTGTTAAACTCTCTGAATTGTTCAGAATGATCTTCTCAATAATCAGAACGGATTCGCGTTGTTAGACACCATTTTAAATTATCGAAATAACACTAACTCTATCATTTATAGTTAATAAATTAATAGAATAAGGAATAATGCATATATAGCTCCGTGGAGGGGTTTCTTGTTCTTAAACGCGTCAATGTTTCACTGAAAAAAATTACATTCACATTCCTTACCCCGCTAACCAGGACTACTTTTGCTAAACGTTTTGAAATTTACC